CAAAAAAAAAAAAAAAAAAAAAAAAGAAAAGAAAAAGAAAAAGATAATTTAGAATACTAGAGTTAGTTGGAGTGTGGTGGCACATGCCTATAATCCCAGCACTTGGGAGGCTGAGGTAGGAAGATTGTTGCAAGTTCAAGACCAGCCTGGGCTACAAAGGGAGCTGAAGACCATCCTGAACTACACAGCCAGATCCTGTCTCAAAAACAAAACAAAACATGGGAGCCTGTTGGTTAGCTCAGTTGTTTAAGTGCCTGCTCATGCAAACACAATCAGGTGCAGGATACATTGGTTTGACCCCCACCTCCACCTGCCTTAGCAGACCCAACCTTAAGGCAGCCTGAGCCAGCCTGGGGGGAAAAAAAACAAACAACAAACCTTCTCAAAAACAAAACCAAAAACCCCCTAGAGTTAAGGTTGAAGCAATAAGAAAAAAAAAAAAAAAATGTCACAGGTCTGTCCTGTTACAATTCTGTATATGGTTAGATTTCTAAATTTCTTTGTAAAAATATGTAAATGCTTATTTCTAGTTTTTTAAAATTATTTTTCCTTCATATTCTGTAAGGACTTAAAGTTCAACATATCAATATTTGATGGAAAATACCTGTTCCATGATATGCCAAAGATGTTTGATATTTAGACAGAGTAAACCAAACTGCATATATTGCAGGTTAATAATAAGCTTCTCTTCTGGAGGGTTAACAGCCTAAGTTAGATCAAAATTGTAGAAAAGGAAGGGCTGCAAGGTCAGCCAATATTTTGGCCCTAGCCTTTCAAGGTCAGTGAAGACTCAGAACATAGGAGAACCTGTACTGTAACATTATGTAACTCAGTTGTGCTCCAAATTTTCTGATCAAGGAGATTATGATGGAGCCACAGAGGAAAGTGATCGATGATGTAGAGTGTGTCTGGGGAGAGTCACGTGAAGAGAAAACATTCTCTCAGGCTTTCACAGAGAGAAAATTGGTCAAGCAATGGCCATGACTCATCCTCATGGCTGACACTGACAAAGGATCTACAAACTGTGGTACAGGGCTACAGGATAAATCCTGAGGGTACTTGACTGACCTTATCTGATACACAAGTTACATTTCTTGTTATATAGGTCTTGCTTTATCTTGGTCTTAACCATTCAACAGAAAAGTATAAAAACGAGGTATATAAAGTAAAGCCATATTAATACAATGAGCTATAAAAGACTCAAGTCAATAACTTCTGAAGATAACCCACTAATATTATAGACTGCTTGACAGTGTTGGATTGTTTTGCTGAATTCAAACACCTATAGTATTTAGATGCCAATAGAATACCCACCTCTGACAGGACTAAACAAAAAAAAAAGGGGATACAAAGGAAAGATCATTATGTATTTATATATACAAAATAGGACAGATAAACAGCTACTTTTGCTTAATTCAATGAGAAGAGGTATACTAATAGTGTTTGGACAGGATATCCTGTCTGCTTCTTGTACTATGGATAACCACTAAGAAGATAATAATGTACAATGTATTGATTATCAAAACTGTCCTATTAATCAGCTTTGAAACTGTCTCATTCATATTTGTTTCTCAATTTAAAAAAAAAAGGTTGAAGCAAGGGAGGATTGCAAATTGAAGCCTGGAGTTTAATCCTTAAGCATACCAAAAAACAAAAACAAAAGAGTAAGACCAAGGAGTTGAAGATACAGCACAGTGGTACAGTGCTTGCATAATTTGCACAAGCCCCTCATATTGACCTCTAGCACTGAAATTTTTTTTTTTTTTAAATCAGGCAAGGAGGGGCCAGGGAGACAGTTCAGTGCCATAAACTCTTGCCTGGGAAGCACAAGGTCCCAAGTTCGATCCTCAAAGCAAACAAATAAACAAACAAACAAGAAAATCAGGCAAGGATGATCACCATCCCTCAAAAGACACTTAAGGTCCTAACTAATCCAGTAACGTAAGAAAAGGAAATAACAGGTATATATTGATTGAAAAAGAAGAAATAAAACTGACTTTGAGGGGCTGGTGAGATGGCTCAGTGGTCTAAAGCACCTACTTAGAACAAGCTTAGCAAAAGCACAGGGACCGCGGTTCAATCCCCCAGCACCACATGCCAGCTAGCCCCACCCCCAGGCAGGCTGAGCTGGCCACACACACACATACACACACAAATAAATGAAACAAATAAATTTAAAAAAAAAAAAAACTGACTTTGATTGCAGATAAATGTGTAAGTAGAAAATCCAAAGAATCAACTACAAAAATTCCTAGGACTAATAAGTGATTAAAGCAGGACTGCAGGATACCAAGGTAAATATTCAAAGTCAAAAAAGAGAGCTGGGAAGATAGGTCCACTGTCTAAGTGCCTGTCTGGCAAGTGCAAGGATTTGAGCTCAATCCCCGGTACCACATGCCATGTGGCCACCAAAACCAGGCATAGTGGCACATGCCTGTAATCCCAGCGCTGGGGAGGCTAAAACAGTAGGATTACTATGAGTCCAAGTTGCATAGTGAGATCCTGTACCAAATAAATATATACATATTTTTAAGTCAAAAGAGAAAATATACAAAAGGTTTTCCTATATAAAAGCAATGAACAATCACAATTATTCGTTCTTTTTGTCTTTTTGAGACAGGGTCTCACTATGTAGTTCAGACAGCCCTTGACCTTACTTTGTAGCCCAAGCTGGACTTGCATCAATCCTCCTGCATCAGCATCCTTCGTTTGACTTTTGAACCCTAACCCTAACCCCAAGTCCTGCCATGTAGTTCAGGCTGGACTTGAACTCACTATATAGCCCAGAATAGCATTGAAGTTGTAGCAGTCTGTCAGCTTCAGCTTCCCACATACTGGGATTGCAGATATGCATCATCATTCTGGGCCTCTTGCTTTTTTTTTTCCTTCTTGCTTTTTTTTTTCCCCCCAGTATTGGGGGACCTTTTTAAAATCTTTTATTGTGAGACAGGTTCCTAAACTGCCCAGCCCAGGCTCTAACTTTTGATATTCTTACCACAACCTTCCAGAATGATGAGATTACAGGCAGGAACCACCTCACCTAAGCTTGAAAGATCTACTTTCAAAGTTGGTCCTGTGATAGCATCCATGAACTTGGATTTCAGGAAGGTTCCTGTTATTGTTTAGATCTAGAATGTCCTCCAAAAGACTTGCAGAGGAAAGGTTTGCGGAAGGTGACTGGATCGCAGGGATGTCATACTTATCATTGTTAATCCACTCAGAGTTTATAGAGCTGTGAGCATAGGGGGTAGACTGGTCTGAAGAGGTGGGTCACTGGGGCATGGGAAGGTTTATCTCTCTCCCAGCTACTCTCTTCTCTGCTTAAGGGTTGCAATGGGAGGAGCAGCTGTTTTTTGTTGTTGTTTTTTTTTTCCTACCCATGGTCTTTCACCAGGCCCTTTCTCCCCTGGAGCCATCCTATTAATAAAAATCTCTAAAAGCCATCAGCCAAAATAAAGCTCTCTCTTTTGTCTTTTAAATTGTGGATATTGGAGAAAAGTGACTAAAACAGCTCCCATCACCCTAGTTTGTAAGAGTGATCCAAATGTAAACAGTTGATGTAAACAATGTGGTTTATACTGAAATCCTGCTTTCCCTATGAAGATGAATGCTGGAATTTTAGCATATGACTAACTCCCTACGAAATTCTTAGGCTCATCCAGGAATAGATGGTGCATGTCTGTAGTCTTCAGAGGCTGAAGCTAGAGGATCACTGGAGCCCAGACATTTAACACACAGTGAGACTCTTGTCTCAAAAAGCACTGGGGAGGGGCAGGGGAGATGGCTCAACGGAATAAGTGCTTCCCTGGCAAGCACAAGGGCCTGAGTTCAATCCCTGGTTCCACAAAAAAAAAAAAAAAAAAAAAAAGTTTTGGGGCCAGGGAGATGGCTCAGTGGAATAAGCACTTCCCTGGCAAGCACAAGAGCATGAGTTCAATCCCTGGTTCTGAAAAAAAAAAAAAACCAGCACTGGGGAATCAACTACATCCCAGATGACTGTTTCTAGGCAAAGACTCACCTAAGTGAGGAAAAATATTCTATATTGATAGAAACCATAGACTCTGCATCTACCATTGGTCAAGTGCCCAATATGTGTTAACATAATACTATGTTAAATACATTACATCTACTATGTAATTCTCACAAACACCTTCAAGACAGATACATATTTAAAACTCCTGTGTCAGGACTGGGGAGATAGTTCAGTAGGATAAGCGCCTGCCTGGCAAGTGAAAGGTCCTGAGTTCAATCCCTAGTACTGCAAAAAAAAAAAAAAAAAAAAAAGTAAAACTCCTGTGCTAGCCCTGCCCCCAGGGCACACTGAGCTGGCAATTGAGACTGGGTGTGATGGCAGGCGCCTGCAATCCCAGGACTTAGGAGGCTGAAAACAGGAGAATCACGAGCCCAGTCAACATAGTGAGACCCTGTAGACCCTGTCATAAAATACAAAAAATAATAAAAACTCCTTTTATACATACGATATTGAAACCCAAAGAATCTACTAAGTTGCCCACAGATGGTAGATGAAATACAAGACAGAGGTGGGTTTTAAACCTAGGTTTATCTAACTCCAAAGCCAGTATATTTCTACTACAATTCCAAATATAGTACAAGAATAGTACAGCACAAGAAGCTACTGAAATAAACTCACCAGAGGTAATGTGTGAACTAAAGTAACTTTATTAATTAAAAATATTTAGTACCTTCATCAGCTATGATAAAAAACTTCAAAATATAGTATTTATTGAGGTAGTCATACATAATTAAAATTTATTTTACTGTCTCTGCTAGCGACATGAAATACAAATGCAGAAAAGACAGTAATGGCAGGGAGACCAATGAGTTTGAGGCTAGCCTGGAAAACATGGCAAGACCCTGCCTCCGAAAGAAAGAAAGAAAGAAAGAAAGAAAGAAAGAAAGAAAGAAAGAAAGAAAGAAAGAAAGAAACCAACCAGCACCAAGGGCAGTAACAAAGAAATTCATAGTTTGAATTAACTTACCATTCTTCTTTTATACTTTCAAGATTATCTACTTCTTTCATTCTCTTTGTATTTCTGCAAAAGAAATAAAACCAAACTTTCTCAAATTAAATTTTCATTCCTGCCCTCTCCCTCTCCCTCGTGTAGCTTATGTTATCTTCCGCTGCTATGAATGAATGGTTGCCCTTCTGCAATGAGCCAACCTGCCTTGGAGCCAGCCAGTTATGGACTAAAACTTCTACATACTGTAGGCTAAATAAACCTTTCCTTCTTTAAAACAGATAAATAAATTTTTATTCCTATGTACATATCTATATACTTTAACATATAAGTTATATAACTGTAACATAGCACTAAGAAAGTCTTAGGAACATTTGACCAAACTCAAAATTGTCACTTTCATCTACAAAATAAGCAATATCAAAACCAGCTTTGTAGACAGAGGTCTCTGTACCTAGCAAGATATCCACACCTGGGCTGGGAAGATAGCTCAGTGATCTAAGCACCTGCCCAGCAAGCACCAAGGACATGAGTTCAATCCCCAGCACTGCATGCAGCGCTGGTCCCCAGAACCCAGGATGTGCAGTGCTAGCCACCAAAAAAACGAGGTGTGGCAGCACATGCCTGAAATTCCAACACTGGAGAAGCTAAGATAGAAGGATCACTAGAGTCTGAGCTGTGGATAGAGACCCTGTACCAAATAAATAAACAAATAAATAAAAGATTAAAAAAAATTTTTTTTTAATTATCCAAATCTTCAATTACTGAATAGAATTTTCCTACCATGTCTTACGGAGTGTTACTTGGATATTCTGTAACAGAACTTTGGAATCAAATATTTCATACATTTATAAAACACAAATCATTAAATAGTGAGAGTAAAAATAAAAGACAAATAGAATTGAACTGACTAGTGAATTGCTGGCAGAATTACAAAGAAATTCTATCAAGTAAATTTAAAATATGTGATTTAGGGCTGGGATCCAACTCAGTGGTAGAGTGCTTGCCTAGCATGAATGATGCTCTGGGTTTCATCTCAGGCCCTGCAAACACATGCACATACAGCACAGCAATGTGCCTAACTAACTTAAGATGAAACTAGGTGAAAATCCATAGCTCAGTTACTATCACTGTGATAAAGAACCTAAGGAAAGCAACTGAAAGGAGGAAAGATGTATCTTGGCTCACAGTATCGGTTCCCAGGTGGCTGGCTCTATCAGAGCCCTACACCTGGCTGAGGGGATGTTTGATTGATTGATTGATTGATTGATTGATTGATTGACTGTATTTTAGGGAAGGGTCTACAGGGTGTTCAGGGTCTCATTACTAGCTCGGACTCTTAGTGATCCGCCTGTTTACAGCCTCCCAAGAGCTGGGATTACAAGCCCATGCCACCAGCCCAGTCTCAGTTGCCTTCTCAGTGTGCCCCTGGGGATGGGGCCAGCATGGCAGGCCCTGGGGGATCGAACCCCTGACCCCTAGCCTGCTCCCAGGTGCTTTAATGCGCTGAACTATTTGGCCGGCCTGAGGGGATATTTTAGATCCAAACTCTAAAAGCAACTTCCACTACCTTCAATTCAAGTAAGCATATTGAGTCTGGTTGGAGGTGGCTGAGTCACCTGGCCTGGTGGTGTGTTCTGGACCTGGGGTGGCTCTTTGATTACTGAGATGGCAGGGCAAGAGGACTAGGCTGTAAAATATACCTTGAAAGAGATTTAGAAGCACAAAGATAGCAAAAACACCTAGGTGACCTGCACCACAAGGTGTATGATTTGACCAGGTTTCTGGAAGAGTATCCTGGCAAGGAAAAAGTCTTAAGAGAACAAGCTGGGGGTGATGCTACAGAGAATTTTGAAGATACTGGTCATTCTACCAATGCTAGAGAAGTATCTAAAACATATCATTGGTGAGGTCCACCGTGACAACAGATCAAAGTTAGCCAAGCCTTCAGAAAGTTTTATTACTACTAGGGAATCTAATTTCAGTTGGTAGACCAACTGGGTTATCCTAGCCAGCCAACTCAGCTCCGGCTGTTGCCATGATGTATTGTAATGGGTCAACTGAACTTTGTGCTGTAACTATGGAAAACTATTAGATTCCCTTATGCTTCCTATTATCTACTCTTAGGAATGTGTTCTCACCCTCTGTTCAAGGCTGTTTAGTAATGAGTAACTGTCTCCCTCCCCTCCCTAATCTAGTTCTTGTAAGCATAGTCAGCTTAAGAGATATCTTGTAAGAACAGCTAGATGTGCTTAACTCCTTGTAACCTCTTTGTACAAAACTTCACATGTACAGATATGTAACAAAAGGGAACTGACCAATGATCCCAGAAAAATATGTTGAGTAATGCTCACGCTGTCCCAGAAAGTGATGTTGTGTGTCAGATAATTTGTTTTACCAAACAAGATGTGGTTTTCTGTTTTAAAAGCCCCTCACTTCCCGGACTCAGGGCTGTTCAGTCTCCTGTGTGAGAACTGACTGGTGGTCCTAAGCCCAGTAGTAAACGGCTCTTTCAAATTCCTATTTGGGGGGCCTGGCCCTAGCTCAGTTCTTTAAGTGGCTGCTTCCACAAAGCTGTCAGCCTCAGGTTGCTGTAGTTCAATCCCCACAACACTCCAGCCAGCCAAACCTGCACTGAAGGCATTCGGAGCAAAAAAAAAAAAAAAAAAAAATCCTTATTCAAATTCCTATTTGGCCTTTATGGTTCCTTTGCTGAGTAAACCATGACAGTATCACTTCTACACAGCAGAAGAGGACAGCAAAGACTGCCTTGGACAGGAGAGAAAAACCACCAGTGTTAACCACCACTTCCGCTGACAGAAACTTTCACTTGAGAAAATAATTTTAATATGTCTGTTTTGCTCTCCTGTGTTAGAACAATTTTTTCTATTCCTCCTAAACTTTTCAGATGTGCCTTTTTATTCATCAGCCTCATTTGACATTTCACCACTACATAATGTACTTTGTATGTGATTTTTAAAAAGATATCTGCCTTTTAAAATATTTAAAAAAAAAAAAATTTCGGCCACAGAGATAGTTCAGTGGCCTAAGCACCTGCCTGGGAAAAACAAGATTGTGAGTTTGAGCCCTGGTACCAAATAAATAAATAAAATTTTAAAAATAATCATATTGATAACAATCAGTTGGGCATGGTGGCAAACCTATAATCCCACCCCAAACACTTATATTGCCATTTAATTAGACTTTTAAAAGACAATTTTGTTCTATCAAAAAAACTACTGCTGTTGGGCTCAGTAGTCCAGGCTTGCGATTCCAACAAAGAAAGAAGGAAAGAAGGAAGGAACGAAGGAACGAAGGAACGAAGGAACGAAGGAAGGAAGGAAGGAAGGAAGGAAGGAAGGAAAATGAAGAATGGCAGTTCTCTCTTAATAATTTTTAAAATTATTATTTATTTGAAATAGGGTCTCTGGTTCCACAAAAAAAAAAAAAAAAAAAAAAAGAAAGAAACAGGGTCTCACTATGCAGTTCAGGCTCGTAGTGATCCTCCTGTCAGCCTCCCCAGTGCTGGGATTTCAGGCATGTGTCCCCACAGTATGCACAGGGTTCTGGGGCCAGCATGGCATGCAGTATCAGGGATTGAACTCAGGGCCTTGTGCTTTCTATGTTGAGCTATCACCCCCAGAAGAATGGCAGTTATTCTAAAGATTTGGATCCTTGGTAAAAATGAAACCTCTTAATCTCTAAATCATAGAGATTTAGATGTGATGAGTACTATGTACTATGTACTATGTACTATGTACTATGAGTACAGCTGTGATGAGTACTATGAATTTATATTTAATGTGATTAAATTGACAATATTTATTATGCATAAAATAAACAAATTTGCAAAAAGAACAGCTTAAAAAGCTTCATAAGGAGCCGGGGAGATAGCTCAGTAGAATAAGTGCTTGCCTGGCAAGTGCAAGGGCCTGAGTTCAATCCCCGGTTCCAAAAAAAAAAAAGCTTCATAAGACATCTGATTAATTCATGGCTTAATAACAATATGGGAAGAGAAAATTTTAGTGGTACTTAGAAGTGCTAGATGAAGTCAAATAGTTAATACTTATAAAATACCTATTATACAAATTAATTATTTAGACTCAAGTGAGAAAAAAATTTGTATGTTTTAGCTAATCTGGGTCTTACTAAACCGAAAGTAAACACCTTTGAAAATTTTTTAATGTATGTGGTACAGGGTCGAACTACATAGCTCAGACCTGTAATGATCCTCCTGTTTACAGGTGTGCACAACCACACCCAGACTAATATTTTGAAATTAACCTTTTTAAACCAAACAGTAGACCACGCCTACAATTCCAGTTATCTGAGATACTGAAGTAGGAGGACCCAAAATTCAAAGCCAGCCTGGGCAACTTAGCAAGTCCCTGTCTAAAAGAAAAAGAGGAAGAGGAAGAGAAAAAGAGAAAGAGAAAGAAAAGAAAAAAGAGGGAAGACTGGAAGTAATAGCTCAATAACCATTGAGCTATTATTAATCTGCATGTATACACAGAGTCCTGAGTTTGATCTCCAGTAGCAGGGGAAGAAAAGCAAATTTTAAGTAGATCTAGTAGAACGCAGATCTGTTCAATGACACCAGATCCATCTCAAAGCAATGAGAACCGGAACATGGACACTAGAAACAGTCTACTGCTCTCACTGCAAAGGATCTGCAGGCAGTTTTAATCCATGACACTGAGGATCAAGGTGTGGCTTTCCTGCAACAAGCCACCTGGATGGTTTTAGACCCTGATTTCTCTTCCAGCTTCCTGCGGCTAGTGCAGTGGGGCCTGCAACCAGCCCATTAGCTAGAGCACTAACTCATACTTTTGCCTGTTTCTAGATTTTGTTCCTCATGTCCTAGTTCAGTGATGGGGAATCTTTTAGAGCTTTCAATGCTACAAAAACCCTGCTGCATAGGATTACCACCATTGTACTAGTTGTTACAGATTAAAGTTTATTTAATAGAGGAAGAAGATTATGTACAAAATTTAGAGCTGTTTGGGTTTTTGTTTTTGGTTTTTTTTTTTTTTTTTTGGTCTTTTATCTTTTTGAGACAGGGTCTCACTATGCAG